TGTGCTACGATTGACGTCAACAACAGTACCACTATCTTCCGGTGGAACAAAATATGGGATTCTCCGGCTAAGCATCTCCCGAGTAAGCACTACGTACTTCGTAGGACCAGGCGAAGATTCTCCTACCAGAAAAGGTACAGTGCAGGTATGAGAAAATCCACGGCTTTGTGCCTGGAAACGGATGCCAACCCCCGGACCAATAAAGCCGTTCGGTTTGGAGATTTACGTCTACATTAGTGCGAGGTGAAACATGGTTCTGGGTCATTAGAATGCTTTTGGAGGCGGCACCTTGTTTCATTTGCTGGGACGTCGCGAGCTAATTCCGGGGAAGGCTTTTGGAACCAACAAAGTACTTCGGTTCCGTTCCTCGTCGTACTTCCGGTTCTGGTGACTGAGGGAAGAACTCCACTTCTGCGACCAGATGGCAACGAAGTACTCCATACTAGTTTCCAACGAGATTCACGCTGGAATGGCAACGAGATAATTTGCTCCACATGCCCAGGAAGGGAAGGGGGTAAACGAAATCCTTGACCGTGGCGAATTTCCTCAATTCTAAAACCGAACTAATCATCCGTAGAAGCCGGATCGATGATGCTGTGTGCTGTGTCGCGATTTGGCCGGGCCTTTCGGACCAAGTAAAGCTAATACCGGAAAGGTACCAAGAATGGGGGTCGACAAAAAGACTCAACCTGAAAGTACGACGACCGAAGTAAGGTTTGTACGTATGTATTGAAGGGGATCTAGGCTAGCCCTCCCGGTCCGGTCTAGGAATATTAAAATCCTCCTAGTGGCAAAGACACGAAGTTACGTATGAACCGTCTTCCAGCGCGTACTAAAGGATTTCTCCACCGGAATGCATGATCCGGTGCCGCGGTGACGGATAACAATCGTCCCCCAGGGGTGTGGTCTTAGTCGTCTCTTAGCTCCAAAGTTTCTTGTCCCTGTCTCATAAAAAATGATCGCAATTAAATTGGAATGATTGATTCCTCAATTTTTGACTTGTTCACTTGTGCTAGTACGGCGGCTAGTCGTAGGAATTGCTTCCCCGCCCCTTTTTTGGGACCTCTAGTGCCCTGCCATCATCATGTGAGGCAGGATTCTCTCTTTCTCTCCGTCTCTCCCGCTGTATCACGCCTGGTATTTCCAACTGCCTATCAGCTGGTTGGTTGTCGAACAGATAGAAGACTCCACTCCACTCTGGAAACACCGCTCCAACGGCTGTCTCGCTTGTGTTACGACTTGTTTCCGTCTCGCGAACATACCCAAATGGGGAACCTCAGCTCCTCAAAGTCAAAGTACTTCGTGCACGTCTGCGTCAAATCCAATCAACGCTTGATCCTCAGGATGATCATGTACTCATCTTTCTTACACTAGGCCACAATGGACTTAAGATTTGCTTCGCAGATGCAGGTCCTGTGATAGTGAACTACCAATAACCCAAGATCTTATTGGATCTATCACAGCCCAACAATCTCGATCAATACTTTCATATGGGTACCACATATGTACAATGGTAGGGTTAAGATGTGATGACAACCTAATTTTAGCCCTCTTTAGACACTGAACCGATTAGTGATGCTGCTGTCTAATTTTGTTGCTTACCCTGTATGCGCCTCTGTACATATGTACATACAGGTGGAGCCTTGCCATATCACAAAGGGACGAGGTTGATTCCAAGTGGATGCTTTTATGCATGCCGGGCACATAATCCATTATTTCATTATGATCACATTATAGACCCTCCAACATTCATCAAGTTACCACCAACTTCATGCATGTTTGTTCCAGGTTTATACTCACCCGGTCACACAAACCTGTTTGGCCTTATCTGGGATGCTGTCTTACAGCCTGTATATCTGCCCAAATGCCATCTTTGCCTTGTGTATGCACAATACCCAGCCTCATTACAGCTGAGTGGTATGTATAATCATCATGGGCAATCGCTGGAATGCACTCCTACCATTTACCTATTGCGGACTTTGCAAGATACGGAGAGATCAACCTTAAATCTAGATCACCGATAAGTAATACTTGATTTGTCACAGCTGTCAAATATGCATGCAATCGAGAGTCTGTGGTTTTTTCCTTTTTCTTTTTCCTTTCTCTTCCATCGTTCCTTGTTCGACGCAGTATCTCCCAACTAGCCTTTGTTGTCGATCGTGCCCATACCAGGTACAAATTACCCACCAGGTGTATTCTGACTGACCACATCATCCATCAATCCTGACATTGGTATGTTCGCTCTGGAAGAAACGCCCTTGCCAAGTACGCCAGGTATGAGTTGCAGAATATCCAGCAAGGTATGTTTGTATCCCTGCGGACATGACGCATCAAAGTAGACCAGCTAGTGCTACCATATTTCATTGAAACAGGGCTTCCTTATTCTTCTGCGAGGCTGCTTTATGGTTGGAGACTTCCGGGCTGCGATCATGGATTCTAGACCCTCGTAAGTCTAGACCTCTAGAGCTAGTATAGCCGTTAGCAATTAATAGTCACTATTATAATAGAACCATGACAACAATCCGGCTACATCAGAAGACATAAAAAAAGAAAATGTGATCCAACTCCCGGTCTAGGGTATTAGACGCCACAACGATGTCCCTTATGAATCAAGGATTTATTTGTGCATCGGTGAAGTGAAGCCGATAAACTAGTCTAGCGTAAGCTCAGATCGCATAGTCAAGCGCTAGAGGCGATCCTCCACCCAGAATAGGCCTCGCCCCCCGGAAGCTGGCAAAAGTACGGACTCATCTTAGGGTCTGGACTTTGGACTGGCCTCGTTGACAAATCTCCTCGGCATGCGCGGTTTCGCGTCCCGCATCCCGGGACTCACCCATTTGCCCCCCCATCTTGACCAAACTCTAGATGGAGGGGGTTCCATGGATCGAATTTACCGATCGTATGGTAGCTGAAGGTGCGTACGTGCTTAGCTATCCATTTGCGAGAACTCAGTCGGTAGAGCATCTCCGGTCAGGCTGATTGGCTCACCTGATCTGTCACCATCACATTTCCCAAGTATCGATTCGCGAATTATCGCGGTCGATCCATGGATTACTGGGAATATCCTTGTTGATCAGCCAGGAACTAAGCATATCGATTTTTTTAGTTTGCAAAGAGCTCCAAACCCTATTCGAATCCATCGTGTGCAGGATTCAATCATACGCTATTGGCGCCACTCGTCTGTTAGTCCCCGCCCCACCAATGAATATCAATATGTGACATGTCCACTGCGCAATCTATCTATTATTAATTACTGGAGCCGATGTGACAGACAATGCCATTGAGGAGTTCGTTGGATGTTTGTCGCTTATTCGCAATCTCTGTTAGTTGTGCTGTCGAATCAGTATTGGGGCTTGCTTGCTGCGGCACAGCGGCGCCATGCAGATGTTGACCGACGGTATTGTATGTACAGTTAAAAATGAAACTACTAACCTTATGAGCATAGGGCTTGCTATCGAGAGTCAATAACGGACAGGCGGCACTGGGAGCTCGCACAGTATCCAGTCTACTCCGGAGTAATGGTCTATCGCAGTCGCTACTGCTACGTTCCGTCGCATTGCTGTGTGCTGTTCAGCGTAACCACACTGGGATACTGTAGCGCATGCTATATCCTCGGAACCCCATCTGCCATTATTTGCTTAATACCATGTATGAATCCACTTTCGACATTTGGTCTCATTCTACATGCTCGGCTATGGCGGCTATAAATATTATTTGGTGCCTTTGCTCGAGTCATGGGGGACTAGGATATGGTTGAGGTACAGTAGACTTCTACCATTAATGCCTGCAAGTAAAGACAAGGTATGCCACATACCTTATATTATGCTTGCCCTATGCACAGCTGATCACTACCGCGGGCCTTGGCCTTTTCGCAAGTGTGTACTTGGCACTGTGCTGTATTTGACTCCTTGTTCTTCGGCCGACGATGCTAGTCAAGCATACAGGGATTGAGTATCGCCAAGTGATACTCGCAGGGGGTTGTGGAATAGCTTCATAGTTACTATGGTACCCAGGAGAGAACGTGAGCCAATAGTAACTGTACCTTGCAGTAGCTATTGCAATCTTGTAAGGCAACCGTCCAACGGTTACACAGAAAGAATGGTCCAGAGCTATAGTGCAGGGTCCCCCGTTATATATGGTATGTGTTCATCACAGTATGGAATCGGGCACTCTGTTGTGTGAATGCCCTATCCAGCATTTGCAGTCGCGATAACCGCTAGTCAGGGGCGAACTATCATGTACACGTAGTTCATTCGTCAGTCAACCCTGTATGCTTCGTAAGGCTAGATGTATAGTTGGCATTGTAATTCACATATAGCAAGCTGTCAAGTATCATATCCCGCACAGGGATCGGGCTTCGTGATAGCAGTTGGAGGATATAGCCTGGTCATCTATACATTGAAACGGTGGTAGGGTTGCATTGAGCTGCGAGGAACTGTGGAACGGAGATTGAAGCATAGATACCCTAAACAAGCCGGTTGATGTCTTATTTCAATTCGTCCCAATGTCAAAAGTACTGAATAAGTAAATCTTGTAGAACTTAGTTCTTTCGAAGTTTCTGTGGTTTCTATGACCAGAATGAAATAATTTGTATTGATTAGGGTAGCAACGGAGGGAATTTTTGACCACAAATATCCACAGCACATCCTAGACTATGAGTCTCAATCAGTCTGGCCCAAATCAAAACACAACTCTTGACCAGAGCCATTATGTTATCTATGGATAGTTGTCAATCGTCCATTTTTGCCTCATTTGCAAGGCATCTATATGAATCTTTTTATCATCAGGTGCTGATAAGGTCACGTGCAATGCAGGTTTGTTCTAGAGCTATGACAACATCGATTATCAAATACCCTCTTCACGATTACTTTCTATTTGAAGTGTTTTGCAAGCTAGGCGGCAGAGGGAAAATGCTTATGAGTTGACTCTAGGTTTATCTCCCAGGTTTTATCTCGACCAATCGCTCACCCTAGTATGAGCGACACAGCTCGTGCTGCACAATGACGACGCAACGAATATCTTTATCACGAACCCTCCCTTCTCTCCTCCGACGCACTGTGTATATACCCAATAGGAAAGGATTGATAGGGCTTGCCTGGAAATGTCATCGACCGTACAGCACAGAAGCTGAGGCCGTGCGACCAGCAGAAAACCCTTCCTCTCCCGACCAAGACTCCGTACCTTCGCATCTCAATCCCTCACCTGAAGACTATTCTCGATTCATTTTCCAGGATAAATGTCGTTCAGTGATCTATGCTGGTGCCGGCGGTAACGGATGTGTTTCGTTTCTCCGAGAGAAATACATTGAAGAAGGCCCACCGAATGGCGGCGATGGCGGCAGTGGTGGGAGCATCTACATCCAGGCCGTTGAGGGGCTTACGAGTTTACATAAACTTGCTCGCAGGGGCGTCATAAAGGCTGGTCGAGGAAAGAATGGACAGGGCAAAAGCAAAGGCGGCAGACGCGGCGAGGATGTTCTCCTTCAGGTGCCTGTTGGGACAGTGGTCCGTGAAGTGAGCAGATATGATCCAGTTGCTGAGGAATGGGCACTTCGGAAAAGGCTGAGAGCCCAGGAGCAAACCGAGCAAGTCGACGAATTAGACGAGATCGGGCTGCCATCTATTCGTCATGATCGATGGGTACTTTATCCAGGCGCAAATCCTTCGGATTTCTTGACCACGGTGTTTCCCAGAAACCCACCTAGGAGACAGCATATCGCCGCCTTGGAACCAAAAGCTCCGATTCATCTTGATCTATCGAAACACATGGATAAACCTATTTTACTCTCCGCCGGGGGTGTCGGTGGCTTGGGGAATCCGCATTGGGTGTCCCGTTCGATTAATCGGCCCAAGTTTGCCTCTAGAGGTGAAGGTGGTACACGTCTGGAGTTAGAATTTGAGTTGAAGCTGCTAGCCGATGTTGGGCTCGTTGGGAAGCCTAACGCTGGAAAAAGTACGCTACTCCGATCGTTGACCAACAGTCGCACGCGGATTGGGAACTGGGAATTCACGACACTGTCACCGAACATCGGAACGGTCGTTATTGATGATTTCAAAGGACGGCCACTAGTTGAGTCCAAGGGAAAGGCCCCGCGAACTAACTTTACCATTGCCGATATTCCTGGCTTGATTGAAAATGCACATCTCGACCGTGGCTTGGGCCTAGGTTTTCTGCGACATATTGAGCGGGCGGGTATCCTGGCTTTTGTGGTGGATCTTAGCGCTGGAGACCCCATCCAAGGCCTTAAAAACCTATGGTATGAACTCGGCGAGTATGAACGGATACGTGACACAGAGCCAGCGTTCAAAGACGAAGGTGACTCCCTAACATGGGTTCCACCGACCCATGGTCTACCTGAGCTTCAGTCCGAAGCTCCTGAGGCGTTCTCTAACTCAGAGCTTCCCGACCTTACTCTTCCCCCTATTCACACAAAACCTTGGTTCGTCGTGGCTACCAAGGCCGACCTGCCAGAAACTCAAGAGCAGTTCAAGAAATTACGAGACTATCTTTCGGCTGTGGAGAAGGCTCAGGTTGAGCACCCCGGAGGCCACCCTGATGGGTGGAGGGAGAAGATACATGCTGTTCCTGTGAGTGCCATGAGAGGACAAGGTGTTGAGCGCATTCCAAAACTTGTCATGGAGTTCTTGCAATGATCGCCATCAAATCGCCAAATGGTGCTAGGATTCCAAGTAGCATTGACTACACGGTGATATCCTGGTTTCAATACTTGTATTTATAGGATCCTTGTATATTATTCACGTTGAAGATATTAAAGAACTTCATTCCGCTATTTACTTGAATAATCTGAAAATTATGGGTTGTTATGGTCTTTACTGTAAGCTACCAACTAGTAGTGCTATCGGACTTAAATATAATCCCCGCATGACGTTGCGGTAAAATAAGAGTGAACTAACAAAAAATGAGAGACCGTAACAAAATCAATACTCATGACTTCCAAGCCACCATTCCCCTAACCATACCCTCACTTACAGGCTGGCGCCGGTGATAACAATTCTATCCAGGTATTGCCTCTCAAATCTCTCACTAGGGAGACAATGGTTCTCCTCCACCATATCATTCCTATCGCACTCTCCGCTATCGCAGATCCAGCCTCCGACGACCCCATCCTCGAATGTCTCAATAACGACCTTGAAGCCCATCGCGAACTCGTTCTAAACACCCCAGATGAGGCTCTGCGTCTTGCCGATGCGAATCTACGCGTGTTCCCTTTCAAAAACGTCCAAACATGCTGGCGACGCCTGTACACAGACGCGACGATCGTCAAGGCTTGTCTCAATACATGCCACAGCTGTGGATTTCCACGCGAAGGAAATTCACATATAGACAACGGGCCACACAATATACCATTATATCCGCATCTGCTCCGCGACATGAACAAGGACATGAGTAGTGAAAAGGAGCAAGCGGCGCTGAAGGTGTCCCCCAATGCCGCATGGTTATCACATACTGTACGCATTCTCGACAAAGCCTTGATCATGACTGGTGCCCCGCTGCGCGAATCCCTCATCGAATCCCTACTCGATGCGCTTCAGGATGCCACTATGTCCTCTGGAGAGGGAGCCGTCAACGGTGAACACCCCCTGGACATCGACGACACATCAGACCGGGCCGCGAAACGCAGAAAACTCTCCCCTCCGTTGTTTTTACCGGATACTATCCCTGCTCCCGAACTGAAGAACCCCATCCCTCGCGTTTCAGCTCCTTCATTCGACTCCATCGAACATCATATCCGCCATATCAAGACTCCCTTGGTGATTACCCATGCTGTCGAGCACTGGCCGGCGATGTCGAGTAGGCCCTGGGCCTCGAAAGATTACTGGTTCGATCGCACCTTTGGCGGGCGCAGGCTTGTCCCAGTGGAGATCGGGCGATCGTATACAGATGAAGGATGGGGACAGCGGATAATGCCGTTCCGGGAATTTGTCGACCGATATCTGTGGCGTGGACAGATGGAGTCCTCAAACCATTCTGACAGTGAACAGAACCAAGATGAGACCGAAGATGACGAGGGACATACCGGGTACATGGCGCAGCACGATCTGCTGGCTCAGATTCCAGCCTTGCGAAAAGATATCTGTATCCCTGATTATTGTTACATTGATCCGCCGGGGCCGGAACCCGGAACACCGGTATACATGAAGAAGCTCCGCGAGCAGGAAGGGAAACTCAAGGGGACGGGCTCGCAGCCTGTATCTACGGGCCTGGATAGCTATCACGATGGTGGCGATGATAGCTCAGCTTCGGAGCTGGGCCTCCCTGCTGACCCGATCATCAATACCTGGATCGGACCCTCTTGGACTATATCGCCTCTTCATCACGACCCGTACCATAACATCCTGGTCCAGGTTGTGGGCGCAAAGTACATCCGTCTCTACTCTCCAAGGACGCCCGCGTCCCAGATATATCCGAAAGGAATGGAAGCCGTCCAGTCATCGGAGAACAGAGATGATGCGGAGGGTAAAGCTAGTGAACTACCGCTCATTGATATGTCCAACACATCGCAAGTGGACCTCGCAGCTATTGAACTCTCTCCGGCCGAGTCAGATCAATGGGACGCAATGTGGCCGGGCTTTCTGCAGGCGGAATACGTTGAGACGGTCCTTCGGGAAGGAGAGTGCTTATATATTCCTGTTGGGTGGTGGCACTATGTGCGTGGCCTGAAGGCAGGAATCAGCGTTAGTTTTTGGTGGGAATAGAGTCTTATGGCGTTCTTTGCTTGTCTTGTCAGATACCCTATTATCGGCTGGTTTTATCTTAGGAGCAGAAATGGGGTTGTGGAGTTTAGATGCTTCTTTCTTTCTTTTCTGTCAACATAGCCTGACATTCGTGTGTTAAATTCATTGATCATTGGCTACAAGAATCGTATCATTATATAAGACTCGGACAAACAACAAAGTGCCGAATAGCTATCCAGTTCAAGCATTTCTCACTAATACCAAAGGCTTGCCGGCCTCTATTGAATCACCCGGTTGGACTAGGACCTTCTCCACTGTCGCCCCAGCGGCATGCAATTCAGCCCGTACCGCAATCTCGAGTTTCATCGCCTCCAAAATGACCACGACCTGGCCTTCGTCGAGCTTGTCACCCTGCTTGACCTCGACTTTCCAAATATTAGCATTCAACGGAGCTTCAATGGGAAGAACCTGAGGGTCTACATAGACAGTTAGTAGGCATTCCTTCTCATAATTGTGGCTTCACTTCTTCCCAGACACAAATATGGCACAGTCAATAGATAGAGGTCTGCACATACCTTTCAATAAACTCTCGATCGCATTAACCGGGACACCTTTTTCCGCTTTTTCCTTCGCCCAGCGTTCTAAGAGTTCCGCCTCGAGTTTGTCCATCTCGACTTGTGCTTTGCGCTGGCGTGCTCGGATGGCTGCTACTTCTTCTTTCGTGTCACGGAGGAGCTTGTTGTGCTCTGCCATGTCGAATGTCACTTCTTCCCATTGGTATTCGTATCTGCCGCTGTTGAAGAGGGCTAGCTCCTTTTCGTATTCTTCTTCTGATACGCGATAGAATGTGATTTGGTCGAATTCTTCGAAGAGCCATGGCCTATCGGGTGCGTAACCCCTCTTGGACCCTAGGATGTCGACGCCTGGGATCGTCATTCCCGTCATTTGGTAGCCCCCGGGAGAGTCGACGTTGTATAGACTATATGTGCATGGACCTTCCGTTAGGATTCATTGAACAATACACTGCATAACCAGTTTGTGTGGATATGAAGGAACGCAACTTACGCCATGCAACTACCACCCCACGACACTGAACCTGCAGGTGTGTAGACTCTGCTGGGATTCATTTTCGGGCAGTTCATTCGCTGGCGCGGATCAACCGGGAGGGCTAGGGGAAGCGCTGTGAAGAATCCAACGGATACGACCATTAATCGTGCGGTTAAATAGATATTTTCAACTTCTGCCTTTGTGAAGGCGTTGTTCTTTGCGACAAAATCCATGTTGTCTGGGAGGTAGGAGGCGTAAGGACGCTGTGTCTCCATGTATCGATCGATTGCGTCCTTTTGGCGCTGGCTTTCAAATGCCAGTGGAAGCTTGAATAGCCGACTGGGCATCTTTGCTTCGCTGAGATCGCCCAGTCTGGTCTCGATGTTGCAGAGATAAGCTATGAGCTTTTGTTGAGGGAGTTTAGTGCCGTCGTAGTAGAGCATGAGGGCTTTATTTGAAGGGTTAGCACTATATGGTCTTGTCTGACAAGGTGAATCTTACAATTTCCACACCCGATCATTGAGACCAGCCCGTTATTGAATGTGATATCTCCGTTGCCTTCGTTTAAGATTTTCTTCAACGCGGTAACTCTACAGCGGTGATTCAGATCGAAGGACCCCGTGCCATAGTCAATTAAAATATAGTCGTCTCCCGCCTGTTTGTGAACCTTATTAGCTAAGGTTGCGGGATGTCACACTTTTGGTAATACTACCCACCTGTCGATAGTTAACGAGTGGTTGGGTTCCCTGCTCCGGGATCTGGTGAACAACTCCAGTGCCACGAGTCTCTGCTGTCAGCGCTGATGGGGGAGTATCTCTCAAGGGAGTTATGTCACCAAAGTTTCCCCCGTGATGACAGCATTTGACAACTTCGCAGACAAATCTCTCCATATGGTTGCGTGCCGCTAAGGCATCTTCCAAGGAGGTAGATCTGTACTTTAGTGTATCACCTGCTTTCACCTGCCCTAGCTTCCACAAATCCGCCTTAACAATCGTGTGGCTACTGATGAACCCACCGAAGTCCGGCGCATCCTGCGGGAAGATCACAGGGTCGTCACCCGTCCAGTTAAGTGAACCTATAGCATACCCGTACTCTATCAGATTAGATGGATGGGCACCACCCTCTCCTCCATCCGGGCGAGCCCACTTCGGCTTCGGTCCGAGAAGACGAATGCCGCCTCTTGCTGCATTGTGCGATATCTTCCATTCTGTTTCGTACAACATGTCAATACTCTCAGGGGCAAGATACCCTTCATCGTAAGGCCCCGGCATAGAAAGGAGCTCCCAATGATCAGGGTATTGGGGAATGAGGTGCTCCGGTATGGAGAGTTCACCACGAGTATCAGGTACATTGTTAGTTATTGATAGTAGGTCACCGGATGCAAGCTGCCGGCCCTGATAACCTCCAACGCCAACCATTGGAGATGTAGACTTTGACCCGAACCATTCGGCGACATTCAAGAAGCTCCAAATACTGCTAGATAGGCTCTGCAACCATTCTTGATGGTCTTGCCAATCTTCAGTCGCTGGCCGGCTTCTACTCTAATTCTTGACCACATACGAACAGGGACGTGGTCAAGACTGGCTTCAATGGGCGCCCCGCACAGAGAGATAAGTGCAGGCCCCAGAAAACGTAGTCTGGGCCGCTTAAAGTTATCTCAAGGGCCTCCAGCCCAACGGGATTTCCCACAAGTGCGTTTGCGATGCGGAACGCTAAAGGATCCATTGGCCCAGAATGGCAGAACCCTTTGCCCAAAGTTGGACGGCCAGGCCAGTCCTCAATGAGTGTATAAGCACCACCGGACATAACATCAATAGCTGACAGCTTCCATTGAAAATTGTCCAAGAATCTGGTTAGGGTATTTCCGGTGATAAATCGCTCGTCAGTAAGAATCTCAGCCAGAAATTCCAGATTAGTTGAGGGGCCGCAGATTCGGGATTGTGTTAATATCGTCCTCATTCCCTCAATAGTTTGCTTTCGGCTCGGGGAATGAAGCATGACCTTCGCTAGCAAAGGATCTGTTGTCTCAGATAAGTTTGTGCTCGGTTTATTCCTGGCTGTAGGTCAAAGGCAACGTACCATAGTTTGCTGATATTTTAATGCCTCTGTACACCCACGTGTCAATCCTTGATCCCGGCAGTTCCTTCCATTCCACACTCTGTAGCGTTCCGGGACAAGGAGCAAAGTCTTTGGTCGGATTTTCAGCATATACTCTAGCTTCGATAGCGGCACCTGAAGGAGAATCAACAGGAATACTCGTAAGAAAGGCTGCCTCAAGGCCCTTCTTTCCTGAAAGTTGAGCATCTGCTTGTTTCAACATGAGTTCCACCAAATCAACACCGTAGCATAATTCCGTTATTCCATGCTCGACTTGAAGTCGGGTATTCATTTCAAGAAAGAAGAATGCGCCAGTCTCGTCGTCGACAAGATACTCGATCGTTCCAGCTGATCCATACTCGATAGACTCCGCAAGACGAACAGCAGCGTCGCTCAAACTTTTTCGAAGCCCGGGGTGTCTGGTAACGAATGGACTTGGGCACTCTTCGATTACTTTCTGGTGTCTTCGTTGTATGGAGCATTCACGTTCGCCGATAGCGATGGCCTTGCCGGCTCCATTGCCAAAGACCTGAACTTCGATATGGTGGCTAGATGGATAGTATCGTTCAATGAACATTCCGGCATTCTTAAACAAGGCCTCCCCTCTAGACCTGACAGTAGCGAACGATTCACGTACTTCATCTTCGGAGCTGCATGTTAGTAGACCCATCCCACCGCCACCGGCGGTAGCTTTGAGCATAACCTGGTTTGCAACATATCAGCTTTGCTAAGGAAACAGGTTGGCTGATGGCATACCGGAAATCCTAATTCTCTGGCCACCTTCACAGCATCATCCTCGCTCGTCACAAGACCTGTTGATCCAGGTACAATAGGTACCCCGGCCTTTGTAGCGAGGTCTCGTGCCGTATGTTTCAGCCCAAATGCTTCGATACATTCTGGCGATGGCCCAGCAAAAACCATGCCAGCCTCGGCAATGGCTCTTGCGAAATCTGCATTCTCTGACAGGAAACCATATCCTGGAATGATAGCATCCACATGGTTACGCTTCGCTAACTCGATGATTTGATCTCTGGGATATAGTCAGATGATGGCCGTTGCAGAGAAGAACAGAAGAGACTGACCCATCGATGTATGCTTTTGAAGGTGGTCCATCGAGCAGGAAGGCCTCATCCGCTAGTTGAACATGAGCGGATGCAGCATCTGGTTCGGTGTAAAGTGCAATTGTTCGCAAATTTAGCTTTCTAGTTCGGTCAGTTTGTTTAGGGTTCAGAGCTGAGTGATAGGTGTGACCTAGCGGTTCGTACTTTGCTGTCTTCAAAATCCGGACGGCAATTTCGCCACGATTTGCGACCAGTAACGTCTGAAGTGATTCCATCGTAAGTCAGGATGCATTGATGGGAATCCCACTGGTCTCGCTGTTTGGGTGGCATGGGGTGCTTAATAAATTGAGTGAGCAAATTGTCAAGCTCCTTCACCCTCCAGGCTGGAAAAGTCCTCGGCGTTATAGACCAATAGCATGGGCACCATGATTTCAGATACGAATCACAGCTCCTTGATAAACTTGGCAGGTTGTTTAGATTTGGGGTTAGGCGTTGATCGATGGCAATAGGTTGGAGAAATTGGAGGCGTGCGGAGTCAATGCAGCGATAAGAGTGGAACACACCCCTCCTTCTGCGTAGCTAGAATGGGAAACTGATATCATAAGAAGTCCTCCCTCGCAATTTGGAGCATCTCTTCGTTTTCATTCATATAATACTCTTTCGTGGCTGTGGTATCCTCGGAGGGGTCTGAAAGTCCGTTACAAATAGCACATTCATCATGGCTCCAATACAGCAGAAAGCCTTGATTAACTGTGACATGGGCGAAGCCGTACGTCATTTCCCCCTCTTCCGGGCTTTGCAGCTTTGATATGCTCAGTAGTTAATATGGCCTTTAGTACGGCAATTGGGCTTGCGGTCCTGATCTCGAACTCCTCCCGATGATTGATATCGCAAATGTCGCCTGTGGCTTCCATGGTGGCGACCCTCTAATCATGATGGAGACCGTTAGGAACTGTAAAGCCCATAACGTTCGGATCGGTGCACATCCCGGGTTGCCGGATCTCCAAGGTTTCGGACGACGGGAGATGAAACTATCACCCGAGGAACTCACAGCTATGACCATTTATCAGGTGGGGGCACTCCAAGGCTTCTTAGACCGGGAGAATGTCCCCCTCAGCCACGTGAAACCCCACGGGGTATTATACGGGATGATGTGTCGAGACTATGAGGTGGCTAAGGCAGTCATGCTTGGGATTCCTAAGGGCGTTCCTGTTTTCGGGCTTGCTGGGACCAATATGGAGAAGGCTGCCAATGATCTTGGGATAGAATTCTGGGCCGAGTTATACGGTGACGTCAAATACGACTCGAGAGGAATGCTCGTCATTGACCGGAAGAAGAAACCATGGGACCTTGGCGATGTGGAGCGACATGTTAGGCAACAGGTCGAAGAGCAGTCGGTGACTGCGGTCGATGGGACTGTCGTACAGCTGCCATTGAAAAATTATCCTCTATCCATCTGTTGCCATTCCGATTCGCCTGGTTGCGTGGACATCGTTCGAATCACAAGAAAGGTGGCAGATGAATTTAATCGGAAACATGGGAAGTGAACCTGGTGGGGAAGTATACATATCTCCCCCTCCGTTCGAGATGAATACAAGTAGTAACACAAAAGTTGTTGTGCAACCGAATGTATAATCTTTAAGCCATTGACGGGTTAGTCAAGTGGGATCCAGATTTTTGTATGTTAGACAGACCGGAATAAAAGAAGTCTGAACGAGAAGTTGCCTCATTCGGTGGATAAAAGGTGAGTACTAGTACCTAATTTGGTGTATTTGGATTATATATGAAAATAATGAGCAACTCTTCAACAACATCCGATGTGGTGTAATGGCTAACATCGCTGTCTCTCACACAGCAGCTCGGGGTTCGATTCCCCGCATCGGAATCACTTTTTTGTTTTGCTGGGTTAGTAGTTAGTCTATATATACTAGTCTCGACATACTCAACTTGTTGTTGTGCATGCTATTCGTCTCAGTTCTAAATAGACCTTTTCCTTTCCTATTCTTAACAGGTCCATTCACTATTCAGCAGAAACGGATTGATCACCCCGAACTTGATATGACCCTGTACTAAGCCCGCGACCACATAATACATGATTAGGCCATTGTATTCGCAATTGCTAACTATACTGGATAGACATGGGTATTCTGTCACAACCTCCAGTCTCATCCTTGTCACCGGGTAGTTGTTTACTCAGAATTAATGATCAGTTGCTACTTTTTAGGGACGGCCTGATGTAGCTTCAGGCAACAAATACACATACGCACAACAGGTGTTTCTAGCTGTACGGAGTGTTCTCCTGTAAGCATGGAGGGTGAAGAGATTGGTATGTATTTATGCGACTTAATCGATATCCTGGTATCTTTCATTCTCAAGTACTCCGTAGGCCGGCTCGGGATAGGTGTAATCGATAATATGGAGAAGGGTATGAAACGTACTTGCCGGAGTGACATAATCTTTAGATTCGTAGACTGCGCGTGCCCTACACATATATATAGTATGCACATGTGACATTGCCCTATTATATGCAATTCCCACACAGGAAGTATATTGTCTCGTGGGCTCCCACAGATTGATAGATATGCCATGTTATACCCCAAACACACGGCATGACTGTCTGGCATCTAAGCACAATGCGTCTTGTGTATTGTACTTTAAGAAAATTTGGCATATCAGCCAGATGAGGTCATAATATTAACTCGACAGATATGACATGCTCCCAGAGAATGGTTAAGATCGGAGAATTCTAGTATCGCGCTAACTAGGACAAAGTTTGATACCTGTAGTAGCAAATATCGGTGTGCTATTCTTAGGTATAGTTGTAGACCAAGAATCAGATATGTTGTGATACGTTGCATTGTCTGTAGGTGAAATACTGCTAGTACTGTGTAATAGTAGCCCCATGATGATCATACTTATGTGTTTAGTATACTTAACGGGTGATGGCGTTTGCATTAGCGCGAGAGCTTACGAAGCACGGGGCAGTGGTGTAGATATCACATGGATAAAGAGGGTAAGAAATCTGAGCGACGATGACGCAAAATCCATAACGCTTGTTTTCATGCCAAGTTTAGGTTGTCTTGTTATTCTTCGTAGCATCCGGAGTAGAATATTAATTATTTAGGTGAAAGGGGAGAGTTTCTCAAACTCCGGGCTCCGATATCGTCGGAGAGAACGGCCCGATGATTCATGGTTACTCCCTTAGGTTAGTCTGGGCGTGGAAAATTCCCCGCAGAGACATGCATGGCCGAAAGAGGCATGGCGTTGTCATTGGAAGGGCGTGCAGATGAGTCGTGACCCAATCTTGCTTTGATTCTTTCTCGCTGTCAATCAGTCATTGGATAACCCAGACCACCCTGCCCTTGGGTTATCGATAAAGGGCGTTATCTCCATAATTCGATATGGGTCGTCGGCGGTGCCGATTGGGGCCGAATACGATCTTCACACTCTGAAGGCGTGTCCTAAGACCAAGGACAGGTAGAAGGATGTGGTCCAAACATCGAAGGTACTAGCAGTGTTGGTTTCGGCATGCTTTTGATACCCCAGACGAAAAAACTGTATCCTACTTCTCATCCCGTCATCCATCTTTCCCCTCCACTACCCATTCTCTCACAGTATTACCCGCTATCTCTGTTCCCCCGGCGATTTGTTTCCTATTAAGACTGCATTGATTATTACCCTTTCCTTTGGCTGGTGTTACTGAAGCACCGCAGCTTCCAGTTAACTTGTAACGGAGTTAAACCGGAGCATCGCCGCCAAAATGGAGTTCTTTGATTTCGACGGAGCCTCATATGGGTCCCAGTCGCAACTTCGTGACGATGATGTGGCTTCAGACAGCAGGGATTTCGATGAAAATGACGATGCTGTTGCCAACTACAAATCACTTCTACTGGATCAGCCATTGGATTTCCCCAATGATTTATCGGAGCAAGGTGTTGAACCCGCCATCAAACAATCCCCGGGTTCGGCCATGGAAAACGGTGTCTATCCCATGGGTCGTGCTAAAGAGCCCTGTGACTTTTGCAGGAATATGGGATTGGACTGTTTTGTTGCCAACAGGGGAGTCATGCAAAACAGTGGATGTACCTGTTGCATCTCGCTATACCGAGAGTGTAGTTTCACTCATGCCAAAGCACCTGGCAAATTTCTGGACACATTACACCCGATCAATGAAAATACCTACATCCCAACCGGTGGCTTAACGGGGAAGAAAGCACTTAGATCGGCTTACGGTGCAACCTTTGTTGGCGATGTCGATGGTCGGGGAACAAAAAGTACTTCGCGACTTTCGCGCGAAGCAGTCCGCATTCTCAAGACATGGTTATACGAGCATAGCGACCATCCGTATCCCAATGAACAAGAGAAAGATGAATTGAAGCAGCGTACAGGGCTGAAGCGGACCCAAATTTGCAATTGGCTAGCCAATGCCAGACGGCGTGGTAAAGTTCGTCCCGCTCCACGCAGCAGCTCTCCAGTTCCCGGTGCCATGGATATCCCGAGGCAACAACAGATGGATATACATCTCATGACTCCACTTGAGCGTTGGAAGCACTCCCCCCCTGAAAACGAACCTGCTGCTACATCTGATATTCTCCGAGCCTTGGTGAACACACCTTTAGATTCTGCTCGGCAGCGATCGTCTCAATCGAGTCACGTGCGTTCCCATTCTCGGAAGACGGGGTCAAGCAATGACTCAAGCCATGGCAACTCAAATATATTCCGTGCCCCTTCCATTAGTAGCTTAGGAACAAGTCGGTCAGCCACTCATTCATCTATATCTGACCTGTCCTTCGCCTCCGCCTTCTCCCATAGATCCTCATTGGGGTCATTCGGTTCCATGGACCGAAAGGAACGTCGCCGCCGCCGTAAAGCCCCAGCACCCACGAACACTTTCAATCAACAAAAGACTCGCAGCACTCGTATCTACCAGTGTACCTTCTGTGCCGACTCCTTCCAGACCAAGTATGATTGGCAACGGCATGAGAAATCGCTGCACTTAGCTTTGGAGAAGTGGACCTGCTCGCCCCATGGAGGTGTCGTTTTCATGGACGGCGCAAACCGTTGTGTATTTTGTATGGCGGCCAATCCTGACAACGACCATCTTGAATCGCACAACTTTAGTACATGCCAAGAGAAATCCCCTTCTGAGCGAGCCTTCTATCGGAAGGACCATCTCAATCAACATCTGAGGTTGGTTCATGACGTGAAGTTCCATCCTTCAATGGACAAATGGCGAAGTAATACCTGCGAGATAAGGTCGCGGTGCGGTTTCTGCACAACTATTCTCACAACGTGGAAAGATCGAGTTGACCATCTAGCTTCCCATTTCAAGAGTGGTGCCGACATGACTCAATGGCAGGGAGATTGGGGTTTCGATCCCGATGTCGAAAACTTGGTCGAGAACGCGATGCCTCCGTACCTCATTGGCCAGGAAAAGCTCACATTGGATCCTTACAAACCTTCGCGCGCCACAGGGCAGTCGCCAAGCTTGACTGTGCCGGGAGACGCTAACTGCTATGAGCGTCTCCAGCGCGAGCTTATGGTTTATATACATAACCGCATGGCTGCCGGTGTCACCCCAACGGATCAGATGCTGCAAGATGAAGCCCGACGCATCATTTATGAAAATGCCGATCCTTGGAACCAGACCTGCGCGGATAACCCAGTCTGGCTTGGAGTTCTGAAACGTGTCGCTGGACTTGAAGACGTGCCGGGCTCAGAGCATGTTCAATTCGCTAACTTGGGAATGCAACCGCCTTATGCTGCCCAAGGCGGACTACTGCGCCCGCCCCTTGAGACCAACTCCGTGGCTCGAAGCATATTTCATCGTCACCCCTTCAGCCAAAGTCACTCTGGCTCTGGATTCCAAAGTCCCGCTTTCCCAAGCACTGGCCGGTCCTCAGCGGCAGCGAGCGTTCCAGGGAGCTCAACCGATAGCTATGCTGGTAGCTTTGGAATGGTACCCCCGGTGACACACTCTGGCTTATCCACTGATTGGGGAAGCAGCCTCTCAGCCGGGGTCTCATCGTTTTCGACGCCTATGAGCGGCTCAGTGGACCCGTTTGTGCAAATGGGATTTGATCCTGAATTCCTGCAGCAGCTGAATGACCGTTATGAGGAGTTGGATTTGGGTGACCTCCAAGGATTGGAATTAGGGGGAGACAGTCGGCATGAGGGTAGCCTCCTACCTGGAAGGGACGAAAGTAAAGCGGACACTTTGCCGGGCTCTAATGTCGGGTCTGCACCCATTCCTATCCCAAGCCCAAAAAATACGGATGTTTTGATGGCCGATGCTGTTCCTTACCAAGGGCCGCGATCACCAGGTAATGGTGGTTTCTAAGAGAAAAGGGTTGGAATTGTTAATAGTGGGCCATGATTTTGGAGCTGTTCAAAAGTTTCGTGATGTGTTCTTTTCTTTCTTGGGAGGGCTTTTACCCTCCCTCTCCGTAATTTTCATGCATAGCTTCTCAACGATTCCCAACATGGCGGCGGTGTTAGTTTATATATTGAAATTAATCTAGAACGATTTGCCTTCCGTCTAATTAATGATCGCATCAAGGGCGCCAGTGTGTCAGCGATAAGCCTGATGATTGGCTGCATGTGATGGGTGATCATCGGCAGGGCGTACCCGTGACCTTGGGAATGACACATAAATTACTTAAGAAATATCAGGGTAGGTTACTATTTTCACCCTAATTATCAATGTCTTGTTGGCTGTCGGTCAGTAGGTGATGTGTAGGTAGTATTGAAGGAAGTACTGTTTGCCTGTCTGTTGTCTAGGGTTCTGGATGTCAGTGACCGACTTGTTTAGTTGGGATCTATCTTTAGTGTCTCCTTATCGGAAAGACTTCAACTGTGGGTCAAAAGTCGTTAGATCGCCACTTTGACATGTGAAACTCGGAGGTTTTTCGCGTCTCAACGGTTTTTCCCTGCATGAATCGGATGTTTAAACATCTACAGCATCATTTGAACCATACTTCGCCCTCGTCATGGCTGGAAAGTGCTCACAAGATCTTTTCAAGACGAAGGAACTCATCTGAACCGTGAATCCATGATTCTCTGGTGTTCATAGATCCCGATATTATGACACTGCTGCGTCAGATCCAAGCTTCGTTTCTGTCACCCGAGACCCGACCTTAAACTGCCCCTCATCTGATGCCCTTCGCTTATCTCAAAGACTACCATGGAGAAAATAGAGACAATGGACGAGCAGGCAACTCTGGGAGACACAATGATTCTCTCTCAGGGGCTTCCCGATTTCCTCCCGGCTGCCATTCGACGACACATTCCCCGTCTGTATCCTTCGCTCCATCGCGCGGCGCAGTCGGACTCAAATATAAACGCAGCAAGAACAGGCCACAAGCTCAATGGTCCTAGTTTCTCTCCATCTTTCTCGGAGCCGGAGTTGACATTGTACGGACAAAAAGCCGGTTTGGCCTTGGGGGACCTGCAACGCCCTACTACTGCGGGCAGTAGTAGTAACGGCCAGGACTCGTGTGGCTCTTCGGTTTGCGGGAAGTCTTCGGACACTAGTTATATCATACCTTCCGAAGAGAAAAAGGGTGTAGAGCCTATGGGGTTTGCGATGTCCAAATATGAAGAGGAGACTGGACTGCGCTGGAATCATGTCGTCCCAGGTATGCATCCATACCAACACACTGACATATGCTGTAGATGTAGAAAAGTATAAGACCGCCTCTGACTTGTTCATATAGCGTTTCAATTCCTCCAACATGCAGGAGTGGAGGCCCAGCGACGCGATTATGACAGCCACCTGGTACGGTCATTGTACATGGATGCACTATGCTATCTTCTTCAGGCCCTACCGGCCGATTTGACTTACGAAGAAACTGCAAGAATCAGGAAAAGCCTTCCTGGCCAAGTTTCCAACTCTCTCGCTGCTCCTTCCGCAGCTGGCTTCGTTAACCAACCCGTGAACGCAAGACACCCGGCAGAGCGCTCTTATCTCCACCGGCTGCTGGCCTCTAGTATCATTCACTTCTTTCTCCTGCTTCAGTTCCTGATGCCATACCTCAAGATTGTGCTGCACCGATTATACCAATTCGAACGGTCCCATCGGGTTACCGAGCGCGTTGTGTCGGCGAGCTTGGATGCTGCCGATAGCTTGGGCAAACGGAGCCTGAGTCTGGGAACAACAGTCCTCAGTCTCCATGATGGGAAAGTAGGTGTTGCGGTGTCAAGTCTGGCTGCATGGTGGGTTGAGGGTATTGCAGGTGGAATTTACGAGGGGATTGGCGAGGGCATGACCATCTTAGGGTTCATTCGGCCAAATCCCGGTGTGGTGGGGGGGACACAAATGCAACCCATGCCAAGTAATTGAGGTTGGTTCTTTATCGCTGTATAAGTTATGTTGAGATGTTCAATAGAACGTGTATCCGAGGCTATCGGTGGGACAGGCTGGGATGCTAGAAGGGCGGGTGCGTTTGCCTGATTGTTGCCTATTCAAATAGACCCCTTGCGTTAGAGTTAATAACCACAGTCAATTGTTTTATTTGCCACGTCCTTTGCTTCTATAAAATATTTGTGCTTTTTAATAAGCGAGCGGCAATCGAGGAGAGGGGAGTTCCAAGACTATGTTGGCTAATTGATGGTGTCTTTGCGAATGCTATATTATTCGACATTTCCATATTTCGTTCGGCCCATGACCCTCAATTTACTAAGGATGACGATAACGACGATGCTGCTCAGCCTAAAAAGGAGACGTTTGATCGTGTGCTGCGTGAAAGTTATGCATTATGGTCGAGTTATGTCGACCTGGAAGGCTCTACTTCTCTCCCAATCCAATGTATTGATCTCAAAGGCATGCTCGGCCAAACGCCATCATTCCTTGGACATGGGTTGATTTCCGAAAACGAGCCAGCCCCGTTCAAGTGCACCGAGAGCTCAGGTGGTCTTTATGTCAATGGTCATTCGACTTGGAAGACTTCCAACGGGGATTGTCAGTTGGGGCCCAAAGAAATACACCCCAAGCTTCTACTTGCGACTCCAACTGCGATGAATGTAGAGCTCTCAGATTCGGCTCCATTCGCAGAATGACCTGGCGTTCAAGGCCTCGAGGAGTATGACGAGGGTAACTACATCGCGGTATTATTTCTTGCTTGAGCTTATATACTGAGTGCTCGATGGTCTGAATTGTTGAGTAAATCTCCAGAGCACCGGTGTATGATTGCCTTGGAGGAAGAGGATCCCCGATGTGAGGTCCCACTTTCCCATAGCAGGATTGAAGTAGACATCGGAGATGATGCCAGTGACGATGAAGTGCACTGGTGGAATGTTATCCTGTCAGTCTATGAAGGATGGAGCATAACGACAGTTTATAACGGCAGAACTTATGTCTCACCTTGGGCTGTTGCGATATCAGGCGCCACAGTGTTAAGAACTAAACAGTCGTCGAGCGCCAAAAGACAACCGCCTTCTTCAGATAGGGCTGTGGAGTATTTAGCCCGTTTCTGCTGCTACAAGCGTTTATATGGTCAATGCTCGGCTGCCTTGTCCGCAGCACTTTGTATCCCTTTTGTTTGGACCAAATCAATATCACTCCCTGTTCCGAAAATGAGTGCTACTTCGGGATGCGCACTTGAGTTACATTGCTCTCCAGCAACCCATATCTACGAGCACTGCGACTTTCTTCCTCGATACATGATGTTAAGCTGTAATACGTGGGGCATCCGATCCCTACTTCACGCTACATTCTTCAACCCAGACATCGAGTGTAACTTGGTCGCGGCCTGGATGAGTGCTGTATTCGCCGTTATAGGTCCAGCGACACAGGAAAGGAACGTAGTAAAATGTCTCAAGATTCTTGCAAGGCGACTACCGAAGTTAGCACCATTGTGGCTCGGAGCTATGCTCCTGGATGAGTTTAAGGCTTTAAAGCCTATAAAAGCTGGATGTGTAGCTGTGGAGCTTCACGCCGCGGCATCGACGGACACGATAGAGTCATTCATTACACAGAGCCCAGGGATAAGTGATGGCAGAGTAATCAGACGCGAGGATGAATGCCGACTACTTCATATCATCGGCTGTGGTTTCCATGGTAGACTTCCTGTGTGGCCATGGAAGCCTTTCGGGGCAAATTTGCTTAAAAATGCCGAGCTTGAAGTTCAAAAACATGTCCAGTGCAATTGCCATTGTCTGGAGTACTGGGCATGGTACTGGGAGCTCGTAGACGGCAAAGAGTTGGAAGCCCGTGGGGCTGACGCCCACCAGCCAGGTGACAACAGCACGCAGATTGATCCGGTGCCCAAGAGAACTCCAAGTCAGTGGTCCATTGATTGCTTGTCAGATGACTTGTCAGCTGGTACAACACGAGGAATATTTGGATGGTTAAGATCAACTGGGTATCCAGCAAATGAAAGGCATGTATACAAGCATCCTTGGTTTGATGTTGGAGACTCTGATGAGGATGAGATGTCGGACGATCGGGAGGATGGCGGTGAAGTCAACGAGGCAGACAGACGTAAGGCAGTGGAGAATTGGCTTGAGAGGAGCGTATGATAATAGCCTCATCAAGGTAGAATGTCCACAGAAGTCAATGGAGACTAGGACTTCAAGAAATGGTACAGTAATACATAGTGGGTGTTCGGAGATAGCGGACGTAACATCTTTGTTTGTAAGGTGCTGAGGACCTGACCGCCCTATTTAAACAGGAAGGCGGTCTGCTGAAGCCGCCATAGTCAAAGCTCAAGAACTCCGACCGTGGAAAGGAGGTTCTTTACTTAGATACTTCAATGCTATAGATTCCACCAAAAAGCTTCTTTGGATCTGTAAAGTATGTAACATAACAAGCACATCCCAGGAACTACAGTGAAATTTTTTGGGTTAAAAATAAATCGTTTTGTATGATATGATCAATCGGAGATGCTGACTGTGTCGAAGATACAGTATTCAAGGGGCCATCCCGCGGAGTGTTCAAATGATTCTGCCAGAAAATATACCTCAGTCGTGTGTTCCTAAGCGGTAACTCAGGAGCAGCATCACGGAGTCTCATACAGCAATATGTCCACCTCCAGATTGCCTAAAATCCCCGCTCTGCGTAAACATCAACTTTCCCTGGAATTGTAAGCTTCACTTACTCTATTAGTGTTTTTGCGGAAGGAAGCCAAATTGACAAATTCCAACTGTACTAGTGCGAGCTTAACTCATGCGGCCCCTCCAGGACTCTATGTGAGCCCTGCTCCGAATGATCCTACTCTCTGGACGGGGGTTTTATTCGTTCGTTCTGGTACGATGTTTTCACTTTGATTGGGATAAGCAGACTACTTGGGTATCACCCAGAGCTAATCAAATTTCTCCGGCAATGCTTAGGTCCATATGCTTCTGCTATCCTCCGTTTCCAGATCCGATTTCCGCCTTCATATCCCGATCTCCCACCTTTGGTGACCTTCTCTACCGATGTATTCCACCCATTGATCGTTCCCCTTACCACATATACCTTTAGTACAAACGCTTCGAGCGAAGATCCTGTCAGTGCTTCAGACGAGGAGCGATTACCGCCCGGCGGATTCAGTCTCCGACATGGATTTCCCCACTGGTTTGGTCGAGGTAAACGAAATGTGATCAATTCAGCGGACTCTTCGAGAGCCGTGAGTATTAATGGCTTCAATACCGGTGGTGATGCAGCTGGCAAATACTCGGCTGAGAACCCAAACGACGCCTCTAGACCTACATCTCCGTCGAAGAATCAAGCAGACAATGAGCGAGAGGAGAGTGCTACATCAACTCCAGCAGAGAAACCCGTCCAGACAAGGGAGAGTGTCCCGGTTACTGCTCTACTAGATTATATTCGCTCTACATTCGATGACGAAACAGTTCTCGACTCGTTGCCACTCGAAGCTGCTGGAAATCCAAGCGCCTGGCATGCATGGAAGGCTCACAGAAAAGATAGCAGCAACTCGACCTTTACAACTGGCACCAAAAGAGGAATCCCGCAGGCGCGGCTTCCTGGTGATTGGCATTGGGATGGGATTTGGGCCAAGCGAGTCCAAGATGAGGTCGAGGCGAGTCATTCAGAAGCAACATTGTTTGGCAATGCGACACGAAGCGGAGGAGCTGAGGATTCGGTAAGAACAGTCTTCCCTCAGTGATTCATGCTGGATATTACAAGGCAGCCCATTGTGGCCATCGCTGACCGCAGCTTGCAGATTCGTTTTTCTCGGTTGGACGACGCCATGCTGACCTCAGTTAAAGAGATGATAAACCCACGGGTTGAAGAAGCGCACCATTAGTTCGATCCCTGCGATTTATACCCAATTCATTGTTCATGTATACAGGAAAGAAATAAATATCTGTACAAACTCTGGCCTACTTGTTTCCTTATTTGCCTACACCACCCATAGGTACGCTCTTTCCCAAATCAGCTGATCTATGTATATCTACGATTTCTTGCAACAGGGCGGAAGGCTTCTCTTCATCATCTATCCATTGCCTACAGAAAACATCCTCATAACTCTTTGCATACCGAATACCCGCCGCATCTATCAGAGTAAATAGACCTACAAGCATGGCTAATCAATACGACACCTTTTTTGTCATTGGACTGATTTCTATTCCAATATTCCTTATCGGTGTCATCTTCATCATGGCTCTAGCTCTTTCGGGGGCCTGCAGTGGTCGGCCTCACACTCACTACCTCTTCTGCATCAATCCCCAGGAGAGACAGAAGGAGAGAGCCTCTGTTCGTGCCAGTTCTGATGTCCCCGATATAACAATCTCTCCACCGGCGCCCTGTGCGAAACAGGAACCAGACCAAGAGAAGGAGATGGTTTGAAGGAGGGGATGAGTTGTTATCTCTTGCAACGGGAGGCAGCTGAAGAAATAACGACAAGCACTCCGAAAGATTAGTTGATTTTGCCAGGCATTACAATGTACCTGGACAACGTCGTTATCCCTATCCACGAGGCTCTTGCATACGATCCGTTGGCTCGAAATTTGAACCGTTGATCAGGTGAATACTCGATTACGACCAAATGGCAACCAATTGAGATTGTAGACTGCTGTTGGAAGTATTAATTGCTGCTGGCCGAGTCAACTGTGGCTGAGAGATGGTGATTATTTCGTCACTTGCAAGATGGGTGAAATACCTATGCTTCACACGTACCCTAATTCTATACTTAGTGGCTTATAATCGAGGATGAAATTTGGGGTTCTTTAGCTTTTGTTCAACTTTGGAAGTGTGATACAGGCTTAAAAAGCCCTTTCCTTTTTCTTAGTCTTACATGGCAGAGATTCGTCTGACTAATAATAAGAATTGATTATCCCGACCACTATGCTAACAAAACATTATTCATCTACAAAATTTCTCAAGATAGGCGCATTGTCTTCAGACTGTTTCTTATTCCAGACTGGTTCCCCGTCGTCATCGAACTCAGCCCACTGGAAGAAACCACAGCTTTTTTTGCCAGGGGCAAAGCCTCCATAGCACATCCACATATACCTACCTCTAGTTTCCCGCTTGCGCTGAGCACAGCGCAGAATGGCATGCATACCACACCGACAACGAGGGGTGTTCCGTGGATGAAGGGAGTCGCGGTACCAGCGATACGTGATATTGATGCGGCGGTTTCCGGACAGTGGGTGTGGTGAAACCGTCTGGGCAGGCGCAATGGCGTGTTTCCACTCTTCTTGCATCTCGGCATGCATAACTAGCAGAGAGTTATGGGGGAGATGAATGGAGATTTGACCTTGAGCATCGGCGCGAACGTCAGATGCCACTCGTGACTGCTTCGGCTCAGATTGTGGTGTAGGCGTGTCTTTCTCGCTTTGAGAGCTCTCATCGTCATCATTGCTGGGTACAATCCTTCGAACGCGGAATTCTCGTTCTACGCCTAAACTCAGACTACCGATGATAGCCCGTGGACCAAGGTAAGTGAGTTCGTCCGAGTGATACCCCACGCTCTCTGAGGGACCATCGTAGCAATTGACGAATGCGGCATTTGGCATCCATTCTTTAGGAGACTGGTATTTGAGCTTTTCTCCGTCGGGGTAGAAGGATTTAATGCGGTGATGTACTTCATTGTTCACAGTGTGCTGCACTTTGGCGGAAACAGCTTGCATATGCGGTGTGATCTGACGCACATTTGACCGGTAGGTCCCGCCGTATGTGTATTCTGACGTGTGCTGGCGGTACTCCTCCGGCGTAGAAACATATACACTAGCCGAATGAGGACTCTCAACTGTTCGATCGAACAGCTGGAACTTATATCTAGAGAAATACTTGGACTCCTCCAGAAGTTCTATGAGGAGTGCATTCGCCTGCTCTGCTGGAAGGAAATTGTGGATAATTGTACATGGCGTGTAGGCCGCGACATCCTCCGGGGAGTATAAGTGCAAGGTTTTCCCCTTCTTAGTCAGTGATTTTCGTTTGATGGGCGAATCTTGCCCTGCGTCTGGCTGGAGGACAAGAGACGTCAAAGACGTCTGTACAGACGGTGTACCCGGTACCACCCGCTTCTTGGTGGGAGGGGCTTGTCCTGGGATCGTAGATGCCGCGGCTTCCACTGATCCGTTACACGATACGAGAACGTCCAGAAGCGTCTCCTGTGCAATCTCTGGGAAAAGTGACACGAGTAGTGCTAGCTTTACATCTGTTGAGTCCTCATCCGGGAGTGGCGATTCTGATGATGATGCCGCCTGCAGGACTGGTGAGCTTGGCCGTGGCCTCTTCCGGGTTATGAAACGGTCCATAGATAGGACTTGAGACTCCAATTTGGAGCCATGAGGTAATATAAGTCTATGGGGTTGTGATGAGAGATCGGATTGAAAGATTCAAGTTTAAGATGTCAGTGACTCTTCCAGAGCCACGTGATTGCCCTGGAAGTGGCCAATCAGGTACTGCGAAGCATACAATGTGGAAGTAAACCACCTGTATAGGAGCTATGTACTACTAGTATACACCCCTCTCTTTCATCCGATGCAGCTAAAACATGCTCACCGAAATATCCTCGCACAGGGTATCACAGAGCTATATACTAGAACCAAGTACCGATTCGTTCATCGGCGTCAAATTACCCCCGAAGTCCGTCTGACCACCTACAATCTTACTTGGTGATTATAGGGTGGCTGTCGAAGGGAGCATCATTTGTGCTTCATTGCGCGTTAGATGTGGTCGAACTTCACACCGACTCCTCATTTATTAAACCAGGAGAAGCATATATGCGAACCAAGCCATAGAAAGTTGGTCTTGGTCTTGGTTAGGGTCAGAGAGATGCTACATCCAATCCAATAGCACACTTGAATATTGATTGAAAGCTCTGCAAGGATCCAAGCTCATGCTCCGTATACATGTCTGGAATTGTGTCGTTATTACTAAGGCAACAACCAAAATATTGTTTGCTGGACAATTGTCTGTATGCATTGACGTGGTCCATGCTACATTAAACTGCAGAATTACGAAGCAGTCTAAATTATAACCTTGCTTGTTTGCTCACTAGCTAATTGCCTAAGCTTTGGACTAACTACAAGATAGACTCATTTATCTTGCACGGTGGCATGATAAGCCCCAGCTTTCACCGATCCCACAGAATTTTCCACTTGAAGCCTTGAATTCTCATCCCAGAACTCGCCTCCCCGACCACGATGCACATCCATTGCTCGCTGAATTCTACTGTGTTCGAGGCTTTATCTGAAACACTCGAATTTCCGAACAAGAGTTGGAAGCAATGGTGGTACAAAACTGGCCCAATCCTAGCCAAGCTTATGATATCGTCAGATTATAGCATCGAGCAGCAACACCAGTATCTTGAGTTCTACGCCCGTGTGGTCGCCCCTTTCCTAGGGCCCTATCCACAAGTTGTTCGAAGTACTCTCACCCGAAGTGGTCTTCCTGTGGAGTTCAGTGTCAACTACCAGCAGCATAGAAAGCAACCAACTGTTCGCATAGCTTTTGAGCCCCTCAGCGGAGCGCGAGGTACCGAGACCGTTGCCTACGATCGAGATATAGCAAAGGAGTTTCTCTCGACACTGTCGGAACTGAATATCAAAGGGTTCGACTCGCGATCGTGGGATACAGTCTCTCAAAACATACATATTGATGCGACCGAAAAAGCCCTGCTACAAGAGAGCAAGATCGATGACACATATGTGAGAACGCAAACGCTGTTCGGTTTCGACCTTGTGAGAGATGGCCCTATATCGGTAAAAGCTTATGCCTTTCCGGGGTTGAAATGCAAAATATCTGGATATTCCTCACGGGAATTATTGGCCAACACCGTTAAAGACCTACAGAGAGAGGTAGACTGCTCTGAGGTGTTTTCAATGGTGGACCGTTACTTGCAAGAGTCTAACTCGTATAACCCGTACACTTTCTTCTCGTGGGACTGCATCGAGCCGTCAAAATGTCGCCTCAAAATCTATACGTGCTCAGCTAGTATGACGCGGGCGAAACTTGAAGAAGTCTGGTCCCTGGGCTCTCAGCTGCAGAGCCCATCTGTGGACAAGGGGCTGCGGTATCTCTTGAAACTATTTGACCATATTCAGATCCCTGATGGAGAGCTTGAGATCAAAGTAGAACATGATGATCGAAGCAACACCTCCAAGACTACTCCGTTGATGTGGAATTACGAGATGCGAGGCGGAGATCCATCGCCGTTGACCAAGATCTACTTGCCTGTGCATGGTGAGAATGACCTAAAGATAGCTACCGGGATTACACATTTCATGGAGGAAATCGGAATGGTTGATATGGGCACATCATATTTGGATGCTATTCAGTCTTACTTGTAAGTCTTTCGTTGTACATATAGTTGACGGGAGTCTAATCGAACTCACACTGGATAGCCCCGGATATGATCTTGGTCAGACGGATCGTCTGACATCCTGGGTTTCTTTTACATTTACGGAGAATATCGGAGTCTACATGAGCATATATTACCATTCTTCTACTGACAATCCATGGGCGGCGGAAGAGAAGCAATAGTAGTCATCTCAACTTGGGAACCGTGAAAGTCGACTTTGAGCTTGTGTTTGAGTCAAAGTACTCCTGAAATAAAAAGAAAAAGGAAGAAGGAAAAAGTGCTACGTTTTAAGGTAGTCTGATTAGTGATTGTCATAATTATTATCTACATCGGAATCATATCATGTTTTCATGTAGACCCAGTGTCTTAGGGCTAGCCGGGAACGTTCGGAAGAGATCCGCATCGTCCCAGCGGAAGAACTCCGTTTATATTTTCACGACTTCGAAGAGTCGATCGATCCTTATTCTTTCAACTCCCCTCCGATCATTGGCTGGAGTCCGTTGCACAATTAACCTCTATCGATGAATTTCAGTTTGTTATGCTGATTAAAGTATACTCACTACTATACATATCTTAATATCCTCGCTGCCATGGACTCGCCGAGGAGGAATCGGAACCGCGCCGCCTGCCGCCGCTGTCAACGACGGAAGATCCGCGTATGTTTCTACTCTATAACTTGTGAGCTTCTGCAGCTGACGCTAGCTTATACAGTGCGATGGGCAGACTCCTCGCTGTGGGTCATGTCAGAAGGCTAAAACTCCTTGTATCAATGATGGCAAGCAACTTGTTCAGCGCTCGTTAGTGCTTAGCCTTCCCCTAGATAAGTAGAAACTCTAACCTTGGATAGGTATATCGCGAGCATGGAGAAACGAATACAATGGCTGGAATCACTAGTAAAAGAAAATTGTCCAAACGCAGACTTGGATGAACAGTCCAGAGACAACCTTGCCCAGGAGGAAGAGCCAATCCTGATAGAGGACCACGAGGAAACGACTATCCTTAGCCCTCAGAGAGAGCTTGCCCCAAGCGAGGAACAGGGCTCAGGGCAAAGCAGGCAGAAATATCAAAGTGGGACACATCATCCATTGCGCTCTCTTTCTCGGATGGAGTCTCGACAAGCCCATGAGATAGGACTTGTCTCGCTCTCACCCGGAGGCGAACCCCGCTATATTGGACCTTCAAGCGGATATTTCTTTGCAAACCTCGTATTCTCTAGTGCCGGTCGGCATCAGAAGCGACGTAACGCTGCCAATGATTCTATGGGTTCATTATCAGGAGAGTCGACCGCTCTCGCGGCAGAGATTCTTCATACACCCGCTTCTTTGCCCCCGCGACGGGAAACTGCTGTCGAATTATCAGCTAAATACTTTGAAAGCATTCACGTCATGTATCCCTTTTTGCATCAGCCGTCGCACATGATCTATATAGATCAAATGTACTCGTCAGAAGAGGTCAGCCCAGTAGTGGCCTGTCAGGTGTACATGGTTATGGCTATTGCTGCCACTGATCTCTCACGGAGGTCAAAAGTGCGTCTGCCTGCTGAAGGATATTATGCGACAGCAATGCAGCATTTTAGTAAGATGTCTCCTGATGGAACCTTGGGCGGATTGCAGTCATTGCTATTGCTCATGGTGTATGGATTCCACAACCCATCTTGCGGAATCAATATATGGAACCTGAATTACCAGTGCCTGGCTTCTCTTATCGATCTAGGGCTACAGCGGGACATACGAAACACACCATCTCTGAAAATCTCTCTATTGGAGCAGGAAATGAGAACCCGGGTTTTCTGGGTGGTGTATACGTTTGACCGGACGATAGGGACCATGATGGGGCGACCGGTGGGTATCCGGGATGAAGCGTGCGATCTGCGTGTGAGTACTTCGCTTATACTTAGACTACTTGTGCGTATGGGACTAATGGTTCCAGCTTCCTATGGACATCTCGGACCTTGAGCTGATGGGGCCTGATGCCCAAGAAAGATCCCCTGAACAGCCACCTTCTCATATGTCCTTTGGCATACACTTATTCAAAGCCGCCAGACTAAACTCAGAAATCAAGTACGTCATGCATAGTATATCACGAGAGCCACCAGCCTACGCCTACCCACCCATTCGAGACATATTCGTTTGGCAAAGGGAGATGCTAGAGCGTCTGCAAACCTGGAAGGCCGAGACACCACATACTGATAATATCAACAACATGAGCGCCAAGCTCTGCGAAATCAAATATCATGAGATGATGATACTAGTCTTGCGTCCCAGTCCTGCCATTCCAGATCCATCCGAAGATTCTTCCATCTTATGTTTTAGACACGCGATGGAGCTCTTGGAGAGCTTCAGGGAGCTGTATAAGCATGACTCCCTGCAGTACAGCCGGCTGGTTGTTCATTCAATTTTTCTGGGCACACTTGTGGTGCTTCACAGCATTTGGAAGCTGCCGGATATTTCTACAAACATACAAATAGATGAGCTCTCAAAAAATATAACCACCGCCCTCAATATCCTGAGCAGTATCGGCGAATATTGGCTTGAAGCCCAGAGAGCTAGGGACTGCATTGATGACATCTCAGGTGTGACTATGAGGCGACTTTTGAAGAGTCAAGGTTCAGTGGAGTCAGCGCCTACTCATCGGCTTCGTTCAAGAGTACGAGCTACGAATCATATGCAACAAAGTTCTAGTATCTCTTCCCAATTGCCTTTGGGACAAGACGCAACAAACCAGCAACAGGAGCTCATAGACTTGGATACAAACCCAACCGGCTTTGGTGATTTCAACGTAGGGTTTCCGGAAGCTACACTTGATCAATCGGACTCATTACAACTGCTTGGAGACCCCGCATTCGAGGAGTCTTTTGGATTGACTGGTGTACCAGATTTTGATGGCCTCATGTGGGAGCTTTTCAACCTTTCGTAAATCGCTCAAGATCCGATGTGTATATACATTGGTACGGCATACTTAAAGACATCTTCTTTGGCCTCTTTCGACGAGCTAACCGAAGACATGTTAGGCACCTATCTCGATTGGAAGATTCCTTTCACTGCATTCGAAGGCATCCCAAAAATATCCTCGGATATTATGCTTGTAAGATTGCGTCTTCTAGCACACCAGACAGCTTGAACATAAAGGATACTGAAGTTTCTCGACACATATCATCTTTTTAGTAAGTCCCTCTTACTCATGAAAGCGCATTATGAGTAACCAAACCAGGAACTCAACGCTTGCCGACGCCGGATTCATCTTCCAATTTGACTGCAAGGGTTTCTATCTCATTCTCAGCTGTTTCTGGGTCCACATTTCCTTGAACAACGGAGTTTTCAAAATCAAAAACCTTGGCACCATGCTCTGTTATCAAGAAGTTGTACTTATTAAGGTCCCCGTGAACGATTCCAAATGCATGCAAGAGACGAACAGTTTCCGTGCAATCTCTGAGATTCTGAACACCTGGGGGTTTCCCCGTAATTGGCTCTATCAAAAAGCCAACTACGCGAGCCTTTGTTTCCTCGTAGACAAAGCCAATAAATTTCGGTGCATGTGGGAAGCCAGACAATGTCAGACTAGAATATACTGAAACTTCCCGCTGCAAGACCGGAATCTCATGTTTAAATCGTGCAATCTTGAGTATCCACGACTCCCCACCATGCCTTACACACGAGATACGATCGCTGATCCGAGAAACTGTTGTCAAGTCTAAAAGATCGACAAAGATAGCGTCCAGGATATCAATCTGTCTGAGATCTAGTCCGTGGGGCGGAAATTCGTTTGGACTGCTCTCAACACCCTGGGAACTTCTTCGAACAGTAAGCGTATTCCATTCCTCCTCCCACCTCGGTATTTTTCGCAGCTTCGAAAGGACCCGGTAGCTATCTGTCCTGTAATCAGGTGGGAGGATATCTCCATCAAGGATGGAAACATATACGATCCGTGAATTCCTTCTTATACGATACAGAAAGTCATCTTCAAGATCTAGCGACAGTATTTCCTCCTAAACTTCTTAGTAAAAAGCCCAGTTAAAAAGCACGTAGATTCTGGGTTTGTCTCACATTATCGGGTACTGCTGTGGCTGACTGGCCAGGCGGGTTCGACATTTCGAGCCGGAAGGCAGGCCATAAAGATGACGATGTCAGGAGCATCAATCTTGGGCTTTAGTCTAGTTAACGTATTCGGAAAACGAGCGTTCCACGTAACCGAGCGTTCCACCCCACGCGTTTTGACCGTGGTAAAAAAGTCTACCTAATTCAACCACCAACCATGCCACCAAAAGCGCTTAAAAATTCAAAAGAATTAGTTGAAAAGGAAGGCAGGGTTCTACTTGCAATCTCTGCTATTAAAAAGCAAGAAATCAGCTCGATTCGTGAAGCTGCACGTGTTTTTAATATCTCTCATACTATCTTACATCGTCGACTGAATGGTATATCATCACGCGCTGAAATACGCGCCAATGGCCATAAATTGACTCAAAATGAAGAGGATTCATTAGTACGCTGGATTCTATCATTAGATCAACGTGGAGCGCCCCCTCGGCCCTTACATGTACGAGAAATGGCCAATATTCTGCTCGCTAAGCGTGGAGATACTTCTCCTACTACTGTCAGTGAGAAATGGGTATATAATCTAGTTCAGCGCAGAGATGAGCTGAAATCCCGTTTCTCTCGCCGCTACAACTATCAGCGCGCTAAATGCGAGGATCCAAAGCTTCTAAATGAGTGGTTTGAGCGCGTACAAATCACTATAATGCAGTATGGTATTCAATCGGACGATATCTACAATTTCGATGAAACTGGCTTTGCAATGGGCTTGATATCTACTGCTAAAGTAGTTACTCGAGCTGGGTTAGCTGGTAGGCCTTTTCTTCTGCAGCCAGGGAACCGGGAATGGGTCACTTCTATTGAGTGTATTAGCTCTAGGGGTGCCCTTCCACCTTGTATTATTTTTAAAGGCAAGGTTCATGTTGAGGGCTGGTATGAGATGGGTCTACCACCCGACTGGCGTATAGAAATGAGTGCAAATGGCTGGACTACCGATGAGATAGGTCTACGTTGGCTGCAGCAGCTATTTATACCTCTTACTAGCCGTACAGTTGGTCGATATCGGCTTTTGATACTCGATGGCCACGGCAGTCATTTGACACCTCAGTTCGACGATATATGCAGTCAAAACGATATTATACCGCTCTGTATGCCTGCGCACTCATCTCACCTACTTCAGCCGCTTGATGTAGGCTGCTTTGGCCCCCTAAAACGCGCGTACGGACAGCTGGTTGAGAAAAAGATAAGATTAGGCTTCAACTATATCGATAAACTTGACTTTCTTGAAGCCTTTCCTCAGGCGAGAGCTCAGATATATACTACTGGTAATATCTGCAGCGGTTTCTCAGCTACTGGTCTTATTCCTTTTAGTCCTGAGCGTGTACTATCTCAGCTGAATATTCAGCTAGAAGTAACACCCCCAGGCAGTAGACCTAGTAGTAGATCTACTGATTCAGTGCCTAAAACGCCTCACAATTTAAAGCAACTACAAAAGCAGGAGACTACGCTGAAGAAGCTACTTAGAGCTCGTACAAGGAGCCCTGACTCGCCTACTAAGATGGTGATAAAACAGCTTTTTAAAGGCTATGAACGAGCTTTAAATGAAGCTACTATTGCAAAGCAGGAAGCTAGGGAACTACGCGCTGCGAATACAAGAATGCTTAAAAAGAAAAAGCGCTCTACTAGACAGATTACTATAGAAGCAGGCGCTTCAATTCAGGAAGCTCAGGAGCTTATACAGAGCAGGAATTCTACTAATAAAGCTATATCTACTACCCCGGTAGATATAGCACCTGTAGTAGAAAGTCAGCGTATACGCGCTCCACCAAGGTGCTCTGGATGTAATATACTAGGGCATAAAATTACTCAATGTCCTAATCGCCAGGCTATTTAAATTTTCTATAGAAATGCAGATTTTTCGGTGTTTTGAATAGATTCAAAATATGAGATGCGTGAAAATCGGGAGGGGTGGAACGCTCGGTTACGTGGAACGCTCGTTTTCCGAATACGTTAATGGATACCTGACCGCTTATTAAGCATGGCTGTTTAAGCTAACTAACGCAGGCCCAATTGCACAAGAACAAACTCACTTATGTTTGTACATCATGATATAATGGGCGTGGGTATGTATACATGGGGGTCGGAGATTGCGACTCTATCTATGAATGATCTAGAAGCCGGGGACCTCTGTTTCCCATATTCTGGTTGAGAGGATGCACGGTTGTATGGATTAATTACACAGTGATGTAATGGCATATCTGTGGCCATCTTTCTATTTCTTCTACTCTACTCTAGTTGTGTTGTTTCTTCGCTACTAGTTAGGGGCTTCCCAGGATATGAGCAAGTTCTCTGTACATATATACTCTACTTCTCTAAAGTGAGATATTGACTAACACTGCTTCGATGATCTTAAAACATAAATATACTTGTAGCCATACAATTCACGCTATAAGCATACTAGCCGGGTCCTCAAGATACTTCTTGACCAGCGTCAAGAACGTTACTGCTTCACGGCCGTCGACTAGCCGATGATCATAAGTCAACGCAGTATACATCATCTGGTAGAGTCAGAATAATCCAATCTTACGCAGAGCAGAGAGCAAGGGCTTACCGGACGAATTTCTACCTGTTCATCAATAACTACAGGTCTCTGCTGGATTCCGTAGATCCCAAGCACAGCCGTCTGCGGGATATTGATAATGGGTGTACCAAACAACGAACCCCAGATTCCGCTATTGCTGATCGTAAAGGTCCCACCAATCAGATCATCCATGGTCAGTCTGCCATCGCGAGCCTTAAGAATCGTGGATGTCAGTGAATATGTTCTGATTGTAGACAAGTGCTAGTAGCAACTCTGAGCGATTCACCATTTTACCCAGCTCCGCGATACCCTGTTCGATTTCCACGATGCTCCGGCTTTCCATGTTACGTAGCACTGGTGTTACCAAGCCTCTGGGCGTCGCAACGGCAACGCTAAGGTCGATGTAGTCGCGGAAGACAATCGTGTCGTCATTCTCAATGGACGCATTGATAGCCGGAATCTCCCGAAGAGCCAGCGCGGAGGCCCGCGCCACAGGGCCCATGAAACCCAGCTTGACACCGTGTTTCTGAAGCACGCCCTCCTTATTCTGCGAGCGGAACTCTATAACCTTGCTCATGTCGACTTCGTTGAACGTCGTCAGGAACGCAGTTGTGTTCTGCGATTCTTTCAGACGCTCTGCCGTGCGCAGGCGCATACGAGACATTTTGACCTGGTGGTTCGATAATCAGCTATCTGGTGGATGCATACAATGGATGAGTAAGCTAACTTTCGTCTCTGAACAACTCCCTTGGAAGGTTGATACCGGACCTTGGCTGTGTGGTACGGGCAGTGGAGTGGCTATTGAGGTAGGAGTGGGTGTAGAGGCCGTTTCTTTCATTGGCTCTTGGGATGGTCTTGTTTCCCTAGTAGGTGTTTGTTGTTTTTGAGTGGCTTCCTGAGGAGGCTCAGAAGTTCGTTCCGCTTGCGATTGTGGTGGTGATTGTGAGGTTGTATCGCGCTTTTCGAGGCCAATCTCAATAACAGCTTGTCCCACCGTGACGATGTCGCCCTCGCTGACAAGTAACTTTGTGATCGTTCCGCTATGTGTAGCATTTAAGGCGACATCTATCTTGTCAGTTTCGATTGAGGCGATTTCTTCGTCTTGTTCAACGTAGTCGCCGACTTGTCTGTTGAAGGTCGACAGGACACCCTCGGAGATGGATTCGGCCATGGAGGGGACGCAGATGATCTTGGTTTCGGCTGTATAAAAGGCGGATGCGCTGAACTGGCGTAGACATGGATATTGCCAATTCTTTTTATGACCGAATACAATTGGCCTGACAGTTGATGGATGCGTACATCGTCTAGATACTATGTTGGATGCGCGTAAAGTTGATGAAGTTCGAAGCGCGCGAGGGTAACAGCCCCGGAGATGATGCGTTGCACGACTTGACATGATTGATCTGGGGTATCTTGGATACTGAAGATACAATCACAGATCAAGAAAAATAAAGATAAACCAAGAGAATCGGCTTAACGTCAGGACCCCGGATCTCCACATCGGCAAAGCAGCATTGCACCGATATCTCAGAAATTCGGCATCACTTTGAAATATGCACACTAATTAGTGGCAGGAACATCACTCTAAGTAGCTTTAGAGTGTGAAAATCTATTCCCATCATTTTCTCTCGTTAGAAAGCTGCATCTTTATGCCAAACGAGAGTAACATTGTATCAGGGTTTATGTGATGGTCTCAAGTCGCGATACAAGGCCAGTATGCAGTCGGTCACAGCTGTATATAGCCAGTATAGTCATTCCATTTCATTATTTTGATACATATTTGGCTTATTGCTATGCCATCCATAATATGTGGCTCTTGGGGTAAGATATAACTGGGGTATGCGTGAATCCTGTAGGATAATCTGCATTGTGAAGAGGAAATCGGCTGTAAGTCGGTCAAGAATGCTAGGGGTGTCATCTTTAAGAGGACTGCGATAGAGATAACATGGTAATGCAAGAATCGAGTGCGCTTCAACAACAAATTGTTGTTGAAGTGAGAATGTATATAGTTTAAAGTGGATGGTAATTTTATGACGTTGACGCTAATCACGGGGACTCCACCAATCACGGTAAATGGACCTCGGCTCAGGGAGGTGAGAATCTCCCCGCAACAAGTCCTTTGATTCCAGTCACCATTCATTTTGCGATATGATCTTTCATCGCAGTCGCTAATCTACGATCACCACTTTCTCCTCTTCTACCTCCTTACCTCCTTGTGACATCAACAGTGTGGTTTCGCCCTGGACCATCCCCAGAACCATGCTGCATTTTCGCACGGAGGGCTATAACGGCTGTGCGGTTAAGTACTCCCCGTTCTTCGATAACCGCCTGGCCGTCGCCGCGTCGGCCAACTTTGGACTCGTGGGAAATGGACGGATGTACATTTTGGAATTAACTCCAAACGGAATTGTACCCGTGAAATGGTACATGTTTCCATTGAAGATGACCAAGTCAATTCATTCTAACTAGACGATGCCAGGTTTACCACCCAAGACTCGCTCTACGACCTTGCATGGTCTGAGATTCACGAAAACCAAGTTCTTACAGCCTCTGGGGACGGTAGTATTAAGCTGTTCGATTGCAACCTGAGCGACTTCCCTGTCCAGAATTGGAAGGAACATAACCGCGAAGTCTTCAGTGTGCACTGGAATCTCGTCGCGAAAGACCGTTTCTGCTCCAGCAGCTGGGACGGTACTGTGCGCGTCTGGACCCCCGATCGTCCGCATTCTCTCGTCACTCTTCCTACACACAGCTGCACTTACTCCGCATCCTTCTCGCCACATTCTCCTGACATCCTTTCCTGTGTTACATCCGACTCTTACGTCCGTCTGTTTGACCTTCGCACTCCGGCTTCCGCCTCCAACCACCTCACTCTCCAGATCCCCATCCATGCGGCCCCAGTATCCCCGATTCCTGGTAAACCGGGCGTTCCACCGGCCGCTTGTCCTCCTTCCGAAGCTCTGACACATGACTGGAATAAATATCGACCGTCTATCCTGGCTACCGCGGGCGTGGATCGGACGATCCGCACTTTCGACATTCGTGCCCCGCAGCAGGGCCCACAGACCGTGATGGTCGGACACGACTACGCCATCCGCAAGGTCTCCTGGTCGCCACACTTATCTAATGTTCTCCTTAGTGGAAGCTACGACATGACCTGTCGTGCATGGAACGACCAATCCCCCCCTGGAGTCGTTGGGGATGTCGACTCGATGCGGGCGGGTCCTAGTCCAACGATGGGAGTGGAGATGGGTCGAATGGCGCGTCATACAGAGTTCGTAACAGGAGTCGACTGGTGTATGTTTGGAAGTGAGGGATGGTGTGCCAGTGTGGGATGGGACGAAAGTCTGTATGTGTGGGATGTCCGGGCAGTCATGGGATAGACGCCCATCTGATTTTGGATGACCCGTCTTGGTTTATTTCTTCCTTCTGTATTGGATATTAGATTGCATGATACCATTTCCTGACAGCGATTGATTGGCCTGTCGGATATTGAATACTTTATGACTACGATTCTGGTTATTAAGTACTGTTGTCACTTGGGGTATAGAATATGCTTTGTGTGTTTATCGTTAGACAAATCTATACTATCCGACATCAATCATCACTATAAGTATACGAATCACCTTCCACGGTGACGCAGTTTAGACATGGCATTCTCCCACATAAATCCACCGCCGTGAACTCACCGTGAAATCAAGAAGCCAAAGCCGGGTATATCAAGACAACAGGACCCATCTCAAACGTCCTGTGCGAACTAGAGCGCCCAGAGGGGCACCCCCTCCTTAAAGGAACATGCCAAACCCCAATTGAAACGAAATAAGAAACGAAAGCGGCCTTATCTCGTCAATCTGGCCTCTGTCTTCTTCCTCTCCGCATCGCGAACAGCGGCAATCTCATCCTTCGATGCATCAAATGCGACATGTGCCTGGTTGAAAGGATTCTCCTCACTCTTGTCGAATTCCTTCTTAATGAGGTCCATACGCTGCTGCCTCCGCAGACCAGGATTCTCCTGCTCCACCTCAGGCATCCTGCGCGCCTCGTACGCCGCATAAGCAGCCTTGTACCGTCTCTCCGGATGGCGATCGATCTTCCCTGCATCCTTGCCCGTTAACGACAGGGCGTCCAGCGCGTTATCGATACCCGAGGCATTGAGAGCCGTTCCCTTACGAGACGCAGGCTGGTCGTCAAGCTGGGAGAGATCCAATCCGCGGGACTTCTTGACCGGTTGGTTCGATTTGCCCTTAGGCTTCGAGGGCTGGGAGGCTTCTTCGGCGGCGAGTAGAGCATCGCGTTCGGCCTTCTTACGGGCTGCGTCTGCTTTCTTGGCTTCCTCGGCTTCTCTGGATTTGGGAATTTGATTAGCATATTAATTGCACGAACAGAAAAATCATACCAAACATTGAAAGTCTTCCCTCCTTTCTGCTTGAATAAGACACAAAAAGGTCAACACTCACTTCTTAGCATTACCCTTAGCACCCTTCGCCCACTGCTTATCCTCCTCAGCTGCACGCTTCTGATCCTCCACAGCCTTCTTAGCGGCAGCCGCTTCCGCTTTCTATTTCAAATCCATACGTATCAGCAATACAATCCATAGATATCTTGTTGGTCGCGTGCCATACAACCATGTGGCGGGGGCGGGGCAAAGACAAAAGCAAGCTCAGATTTATCAGATCCGAACATATTATCAGATCGGGATAGGGAAAGGGGGCCTTTCACGTACGCGGGCGTTTCCGGCTGCCTTCTTGGAGTTCTCGACGCCCTTCTTGGGACCCATTTTGAAATGCCTTCTCTCCCGGTTTCCTTTGCTATTGGGGGTTTGTTGAGCGAGGTATGAAGAAGTGTTTGGTTGGGTTTCTTGGAGGGGTGTGTCAGAGCTAAGACCGATTGGGAATGGGGTGGAGCCTGACTAAACATTTCACTTATGTAACTTTATGCAGGTTCACATGATTGACGTAGCCCTCGTCTTTTCTTGATGTATAGATCTGCAAACTATCATGTTCGAAAAATTATAGGTGGTTTCGGTTGTTAGCTTGTATGTAGTATTGTTGTGGCCTGGGTGTTCGAGGATATTCTATCAAGCATCATAAATGCTATCATCGGCGTCGCCACTACTCAGAATCTGATAGGGATAGCTAGCACTAAACGGCCCAACTGTGATCATCCATCCGCCAGCAAGGGATCAGATCTGTTGATCGTAAGGGACGTCTCACATCAACATGACTTCACACCAAATGAACCAATAAGATGCGGAGTACAACTTGAACCTGCAAACAATCGCGGAAATCCACTTGGCATTGGAGACCAATAGAGAGGGGTTCCATGAGACTCGTCCCAAGAAAGTGGACGCGCTCTCACTCACGCCTTTCGAATTGGATGCCTGGGGATAGGATATGGTTGACCTCAGGCGAAGGTTGATGTAGCTGGCTTTATTCCATGCAGCCAGTGTTGCTATCTCTGACGTTCAGACACAAATTAACAATTCTTCTCTTGTATCATGGATCAAAAAGCTATTGCCATCCAACGAAGGTATTCGATACCGAAGACAAATGGCTAATGTTGGGATGTGATACAATACTCGAATATTGTATGGCTCTTATCTAACTTAGGTCTTACGTTGTAGCATGAAAGAATCATTTTACAGTCCTCATCCATCCCGTAAAGTACACTAGTATATATCTACATGGAACATCATTCATTTAGGTACTTATAGCTGGCAGCTCATACCCTTCCGGCACACGAGGCCAAGTATCAACGCCGTCCATGATGGCCAAGGCCATGCCGCCACTCAAATGTGGTTGTATGTGGCAATGCAGCAGAAAAGGACCCGGATTGACCACATGATATCGGATCGCAAGCCACGATGGGCCTGCGTTGGCAGGTGGGCTGAAAAACGTATCTCTGATCTGTGGGTTGCGGAGATTAAAGCTTTCAGGAATGTTTTTCACAGCCTCGGCAACTGAGCGATGGCGGAAAGCACCGAATCCTGATCCAATCACGAAGTATTTATTCGAATGCTTGTGGATTGGATGAGGAGCTGGCCGCCAGTTGTCACATTGACGATGAGATCCACCCAAGTGTTGTTCAAGGTGGTGATGGTGTACTTTGTGGGGATGGAGCTGCGGTTAAAAAGCAAAGGGGTCGCTTCTTCATTTGATTGTGGGTAACTAT